CCCAGTTCTGCCAATCAGATAATAGTACTTCTGGTTCTTCTACCAAAATCCCTTGTTGTATCTGTTGTTAAGACTAAGATTTACAGATGAAAGAAACAGAGAAAGGTTGAGTCCAGTGGCACCTTTAAGACCAACGAAGTTTCATTCACAGTATAAGCTTTTGTGTATAAGCGCATTTCCTCAGATACAGTGGAACAGAACCTCCTCCTCCATTACTTACAGGGGTGGGTGGGGTTTGTTGTCAGGAAGGGCCATTAAGGGTCAAGATGCATAAGTACTGGGTGATACTGAGATGGGATGTAAGAAAGATCTGTGAATGGCAGTTAATTAGCATACAAATACAAGAGTTAACAAACAAATGCAGGAATGAGGTTTGAGTCCAGTAGCAACTACAAGACAAATAAAGTTCAATTCTGGGTATAAGAAACACTAGACTTTGCCCCAAAAACCAGAACCAAGGACTCCATGAATGACTGGAATTTTAATTTTTTGCCCTGCCAACCCTTTTTGCTTGTAGCTATTATAACACATAATTCAACTACTGCATATTTCCAATGCTTAAGGACACTTGTAAATGAAAGATTAATTATAAGAAACTAGGAAGAACTGCATGGGGACTACTGGAAGAGGTTGTGGAAGGAGTTGACAGATGTGATCTTTTCCCACCTTCCACTTCACCAAGCAGCCCACTATTTTCCCCAAAAAAATTCTGAAGGAAATCAAATAAAAATTCTCTTTTTTCATTCTTCTGGTCACAGCTTGCATCTCCAGAAGAGAGAAAAAGAGGCAATTTTACTTGATTTTACCACCCGATCCCATCATGCAGCACATTCCACTTACAGGGCTCGGTTTTGGGACAGCAGGATGCTTGGGGAAAGGGAAAGACCTGGTTTGCCAACACTTCCCACAAACTGTTCTGGTAAATTTTTCTGTGGCAGCCCATTACTGGTGGAATGAGCTTCTGATGACATCAGGGCCCTGCAGGACCTTTTACAGTTCCGCAGGGCCTGTACAATGGAGCTCTTCCAACAGGCTTTTGATTAAGCCTTTCAACATGGTGGCCCTGGCACCAACATCAGCACTAACTTAATAACTAATAGCCTGGCAAGAACCCAGATTATGGTGGTAGTTGACCATCTGGATGCTGAGAGAATGCCGCCATCTTTTATTAACACTTATGTTCCTTAATACCTAAATTTTATATGTTTTGGTTTTAATTCATTTTTCTGTGTTTTAACATATCTTGCTGATATATATATATATATATATAATTTTTTCTGTATGCCACCCTGAGCCCACCACAGTGGGGAGGGCAGGATACAAATTAAAACAAACGAATAAATAAATAAAATCCAACCCACTATGGCAGAGATAACATCTAAGGATTATGAAAGAGTGCTCTAAGTGTTAAATCCACAATTCAACAAAACAGATCCCCAAACCAGAGAATACCGACATGAAGCATATGAAAAGTGTTGAAATATAAAGATTTTGTGAAACAGTGATTCAAAAGTACACAATAAACAAATAGTGTTAGGCACAACCAGGAAAAGAGGTGGCTATCCCACTGCAGATTCTTAAAAGTACTACCCTCTGAGCACCCTCACTATAAAGATAAAGAATGGCTTGGGGGTAGGGGAAGAGTACACATGTATTTTTTCCCTGTGCAGTGAAAAGAGGAATTCATGTGGAACTTGTTTCAGATTAAGGCATTAAAGAGGAGTCCTACTCACAATCGCCCAGGAGTAAGCATCACTAAACTTAGTAAGCCTTACTGCTGAGTAGACTTACATAGGACTGTAGTGAAAGATTTTTCTGTTGGCACTGAGAAAGTCTATTGCTATATGAAGATTCCAAAAAGGCACATATTCAGGTAATGCTCAGAACTTTAGGAAAACTAATCAAGATTTGAGAGGCATTTGGGTCTCAGATGGACAAGCAGCAGCTTTTTAAAAGCACATTGGGTTACCTGCAGTTCACCACTGAGCAAACAGCCTGATTCAGAACATGTGGAATAAGACTGGTGTGATCTTCCACCAAAAAGACCCAAGACCTGCTATGTCACTTGAAGTGCTTGATGCATCTTTATTTGAGATGGAAAATCACTTATGGAACAAACCAACAAATCTACCTGTCCAAAAAACATTGATGAATCTATTCCAGAAGAGATGGCATAAGCAAACTCTGTTGGAACGAAGTTTAGAAGTCAAATTTACCATAGAGTTTTTGCCCAAATACCAGAGCATCACCCCGGCGTCCCGGAAGTGGTAGCGTCATGTGGGCAGTGATGCAGACCCATCGCTGCAATTGGATTGGCCTCCCTGTTGCTCCTAGTAAGTCCCCTCTCCATCCCCATCCCCCACCAGTTGTCAGGCAGGACCTGGCAATCCTAGAGCATGCAGTTATATACATGCACAGTCAACAAACCTGAAACACCAGAAAGTGTTTTGATCACTCTGTGCAGTCTTTAGCATTGTATTTAAAAAACAGGAGGATTCCAAGAACCAAAGTGTTTTCTTTCAACTTCTGTTGTTTAACCCCCTCCCCCTTTTAGGGATCTGGGAAAATGAAGGAAACAGCTAGACCAAGTCCAGACTTCCTTCAGAGCTGCACGCCTTCTTGCAGAAGGTAACTGACAGGTTCTTATTCAGTAGACTGCTGTGTGCCCCTTCTTATCTCAGTAATATAGCTGAGATGTCAAGAATCCTTTTCATTACTTACGCAAAACAGTCTCGAATCGGAAGATGTTCTTTTACCATATGTCATTTAAGTAGATTTGGAAAGCATAGAAGGGCACCTCGCAAAGATACAAAACTATTTTCCCACATATGTAGATAGCAATATTGCTAACTATCTCTGTAAGCACCTATGGCACCTATCCGTACAGTTCTTATGCTGCCATTAGAGCAAACTATAAGCACAAACTATTATGGGATGTCTAGGCTTACTGATATTAATGGCTAGTTGCAGCGTGACACTTTGTGGGTTCATCCAATGGAGTGAAGTACAATAATAAGCAGAGTGTGGAGTATTTCAAGGTCCAGTAGCACAGCTCACAGCAAGCAGGTTATGTGTTGCCTCACTTCCCCCTCTAACGACTGATCCCCACCAATTGTCCCTTACTGATAAACCCCCCTGAATTTCAGTCATATTTTGTGATGGCCCTGACCTGGACGGCCCCAGGCTAGCCTGCTTTTGTCAGATCTCAGAAGCTAAGCAGGGCATCCCTGGTTAGCATTTGAATGAGAGACCACCAAGAAATTCGAGGGTTGCTATGAAGAGGAAGGCAATGGCAAACCACCTCCTTCCCTCTCTTTCCTTGAAAACTCTATGGGGTTGCCATAAGTCATCTGCAACTTGACAGCACTTTAGACACATCCACATTTCAGTCATCCTCCCTGCAGAAGGGAATGAATTCCCTTGCAATGAAAACAATGCTAGTAACGGGAGAATCTTCCAAAACAGGCTTAATTAAATATTGCTTTACACTGTGCTCAAGCAACAACCCTAACATATCAACCACTCCTCAGGACATAAACTTTTTTCCAAAAAAGCAGTTATACTTTACTGCGTGGCTACTCTCCCCCATTAGGCAAATGCAGCTTTTGCCAGAGTAAACAAGGAGGGCTATTAACTATACAAGAAAGAGAGAAAGTGCTGTACTCATGACATGAAAATGACAGGGTATGGCAGCTCCTTCAATTTGTAAACTATTAATATGAGACAAATGTAAAATTCAGTACACTATAAAGAAAAGAAAGACTCAGTACTGGAATTATAAAAATGCAACTAAAAAGTCACAGAATTACAAATACACTTTAGGAATAGTGTCAGCAAGAACACATTTTAACACCTACATTTCATGCTAGTTGCATAGTCCAATTCTATTCGTGTTTACTCAGTTTTATTTGAACAGGATTTATATTCAGGCAAGTCTGAATATAATTGCAAACTGTGTGACTGCAGGTGTTGCCACAAGAGAAGAGGGTATCACTGCACATTATATCCTTCAACTTTACTCCATAACTCCAAATGAATTACTTTTCTTATAACTCACCATCAGCTTCTATTGACCAAATAGCACCATTTATTAGACAACTCTCAAGCAAATGATCCCTACCCACAAACTCACCTATGTTTTCCCACTACATCAACAAATCCATTATATACATAACCTTAAATCCTTATAGAAATATTTCAATGATAGAAAACGGAGAAAGTGCCACAATTACTCCAACAATTTCAAACAACTTAAAAATGAACATTTCATCACTAGTAGCAACACTATAAGGTATTTCTGCTGTCTCAAATTCAGCCTCCAGTTCAAATATTTCTGAATAAATTAGATGACTACAAAAACTGAACAATGTTTACCATTGGTTTCAACATTCATAAAGGCATACATGCACCCAATCTATTTTATGTTTTGTACAGCAGAAGCATGAAACAGCATTAACAAGGCCATGTTTTACTTTTTAAAAAATCATCCTAAAAATATATGTAACAAAAAACAACAACACCTGTTTAGCCTGATAGAAACTCTGGTTTCTCCTAAATACAAGATAATTCAAATTATTTCTCCACATATTTTTTAAAATGTTCTGCAGACATTATTCTGTAGCAAAAACCTTATTTGCTTAAAACAGACAAGAATGACAGCATTATAAAAGAACAACATAAACATGAAGTTTATTTCGGTCCCAACACACAAAATTAACCTGACTGAATTATGTCCCCTAAAAATACAGTATTCCAAATATACCACAAAGTTTATATTCAGTTTATATTCATGCACGGGAAAACAACTAGTATGATTTCCCAGAACATCTTATAATGTATACACTAAGAAACATAGACAAAAGTACAAGCCTTTTCCCTTTTCCCCATTCAAATGCATACCTGAGTTCCAGAGTGTTTTATCACAGTAACTCCAGTACTTCAAAGTAGATAAGGACAATCTTCTTGGTAATTTGATTTTTAGAACATAATAAAAAGGATACAGCCTTAAAGCTCCAGTCTGAGTCCCAATGGCCAGTATCTTCTGAACAGGATCAAAAGCCAAGGAGGAAGGCTGATAAGGGAAACCATGGCGTACAGTCTGGCAAGTCATAGCAGTAAAGCAATGGTGATCAGGCAGCAGGCGAAAAATAAAATCAAGAGAACATATTAGGAAAAAGTGGTTTCATGTAAATTATACTTAAGTTTTCAAGAGAGTATCCAATTTTAAATTGGGGTTATCAGAGAAACAACTAGATGCAGAATTTATTCAAACCTCAATGAATATGAAAATGTTAAATGAAACTTTAATTTGATCCTTATTTGTGAACATTTAAACAATCTACCCATTCATCTCTCACATTTAATACATTCCTAGCCTAATCTGCAACTTTTCCACATAAATAGTTGTGGTCGGGATATGTGAATTAAAATCCAAGACAGTCACTGGGAAATGTGATGATACAACCAGTCAAGTAAATTAAATGACCACTAATTATGAAAATGGCTCTTCAGAGAGCCATTGCTATTTCTTTGAAACAGGCCGTTGATGACATAAACCTGCTATTCCATGGCAGCTTTTAAGAAACCTCTTATACACACACAGCTTTCTGCAACTATGAAGTGGAATGGCAGCCTTTCTTATCGTAAAATGTGAGTCATAGAATTTAACAAGACAAATCTAGCCACCTAATTTTGATCTCAAGTGCACCTTGCAGAAATAAATGTCTGATTCAGTATTTTGTGGCATTAGAAATGTGTGTGGAACAAAACCCCACGTATAAATCTGCTTGTTCTGATGAAATGCAAGGGTTATACCTTAACCTTCAAGTCTTCTACCTAATATGGGGGAGGGCAATACCTGTAGTACTATTAAACAAGGATATCTAGACCCACTCCCACCCTCACATATTTAGAGAAAGCTGTCAACCCACAAGCAAGTCAAGCTCAGTTTAGGCCACAGGTGTTGTACAGGTAGAAATGAGAATCAACATGCACATCATTTTGTTTTTCAACTTGGCACAGCTGGTGCATTAATTTGCTGCATCATCCTTTTGGAATTTATTCTTTGACTCCATTTATTATACCTCATCTGAACATGAACATTATATCATTATAAAGTCTTCCACACTCGCATCACATCCTTAAAAAGTGATATTCCAAATGTCTATTTCGTGAACTGAAGGGGGGGGGGGTGTTAAATGCTCACAGAAAGCCAATACCACCCAAAAATGCAGAGGCTTTAGTACCTTATCCCCTGATCCTATCAAAATCGGATTTTATCTATGTTCAGTCCATCATTGTCTTCCCGCAATTCAATTCACCACCACCACCACCCCCGGGGGGGGGGAATTATATACCATGGAACATCCCATAATGCTAAAAAACCCAAAACCCTATCGTTTTAGTAAAAAAAATAATAAAGCCGTTTCTATTAATAAAAACCTAGAGTCTTTCATAGCGTCATCACCAGCTACCGCTCAGTCAAAAAATGGGGGGGGGGCATTAAGAGAATTGACAGCTTTAAAAGCCTAGAAGTCTAGAGCCTGCAGAACCCATCATGGCTACCCCCCCCCTTTCCCCATTTCTTCCCACCCGGCTGTTAACGGCTGCAGCATTCACCTTGCAGAGCTGGAAATGCTCGGACTGGAGGGTCTCAGGGATGTCGTTCTCCCGGGTTGCAGTCTGCTGCTGCTGCGAGGAGGAGGCAGCCGACGAGGACGACGACGAGCCCGCTGTCAGGCCGTCCAACACCTTCCTGATGTTAAATTTCCTCATGGTCTCTTCGGAGGCGCACCCTGTTCTTCTCCCCCCTCCTCCTCCTCCCCCTCCCCACCCCCCTCTTGCCGTGGTTCCTACTCCCGCCCTCTCTCACACACACCTCAAACAAACCACAGCAGAGTAAGGGAAGGAGGCTGGCAAGACGAGGGTGTGTGCGTGTGCGTGCGTGCGCCGGCCAGGGGGAGAAAGTCTCTCCCTTCCCCTCTTCATCCAAAAACTGATCGTAACAAAAATGATAGTAACGATAATAATGATAATAATGAGCAAGAGGCTGCAAGGCGACTTCGAGAGCCAGACACCCTTTTCAGGTAAGGGAGGGAGTGGACCTTCTAAAGGAAGAGGAAAGAGCTTGACAGGAAAGGGAAAGGAGGGAGGAAGCCAGAAGTAAATAAATATACTGAGCGATTAACGCAGTGACACGGCTTCCTCCTCCCGTGGCGCGCTCAAGCAAGTGAGCAAAGCCGGGGGGGAAAGAGAGCTTTCGCCCTGGCTGAATCCCCTACCCGGTATCGCTGCCGCCGCCGCCACCCTCCCCCTTCCCCCCCTCCTCTTCCTCCTCAACGCTCCTGGAAGGCCCCGAGCAACCTCTCCCAGGCTCCTGCAGGCTTTTCCTTGTCTGCCTCACTGCGCCTTCTAGCCCGAGCCCTTCTTCACCCTGGCGGGGCCGGCTTCGCCACTGGCTCAGGCCTCCCCGCTGCTGCGTGGCCAGCGAGCGAGCGAGCAGAGTCTGTGTCTGCCTCCCCGCGGGGCTCCGGAGCTCTTCCCCCCGCGCGCCGCGCGCGCACACAGAGACGGAGACACACTTCTCGTCGGGCGGCTACGAACCCTGAAGTGACAGCGACGACAGCCTCCGCTTCCCACCCCTCTCCCCTTCCTGCCAGTCTCGCATAGCGGGAGCAGCCACGGCAGCCGCTGTCATCCCGCCATGTGCCCCCAAGCAAGATCCCCCTTTGCTCTGTCTCTTCGTCTCACGGCCTCCGTGCTTCAGACGCCGCTGCAACAATTCCCCCGGCCAGGGACTGACGGGGCGGTGGGCGCCGCGAGCCTCCCCGCTTGCTCTCCCACAACGACGGCTCCTGCTGATCAGTGCGGCTCCTGGCCCGGGAGTGTCACCGGCGGCGCTTCGTGGTGGCGGTGGCTGAGGTGGTGCCGCCGGCTGTCACACGCCCCCACAGCCATCCTCCTGCAGGGCTGCTACGGCGGCTTCCATGCCTATTCCTGCCGCGGAAACACACAGCCCTGGCCGCGAGAAGGCGGTGGCGCCGCCGTCCTCCCCTTCGCCGCCACCACCGCTGTGGCAGCTGCTGCTGTTGCCTCCTTAAACTGGTGGTGGTGGTGGCAAGTCGGAGTGATTCGCGTGGAGCATGCGCGCTTCCAGGCCTCCACAGCGGCACCCGGATGTCGCTGCTTTTTGCCTCCTTGCTCGCTCGCTTCCACCGCCTCCTTAAAACCTAGACCTGGTCGGTGGGGCAGAGGGGTTTGCGGAGCTGCGATCCTGTGTGCGTCCGTTTGTGTTGTGGGTGGGATGGGATCTGTTCTCAAAAAAAGAGGGGGGGCGTATCTCGGCCTGCATTGGTTTGTAAATGGTGGTGAGTCTTGCGCTGCCTTTCGGGCGGGTTGGAGCCAACGCTCCCTCTAAGCTGGGGAGTCTTGTGAGCAAAAATTCTACTTTGTGAGCTACTGGCATTAAAGTTGTGAGCGAGTGATTTGGCTGCTGCATAAATTAGTTTGCTCTGGAGCCATTCTTTCTGAGGTAAGACAAAAATGTGTGAGCTGGAGGCTAAAAAACTGAGCTAGCTCACACTCAGCTTAGAGGGAACACTGGTTGGAGCTACACATCCTTAGAACTACGGGCAATCCAAGAATTTCAATCAGACCCTGTTTGATCATATGAGGGATTTCTGTGTATAGATTCCTCCGCCTGCGTGGTTGATTCAGTGTATTCCGTTCCATTCACCACCAGTGTTCCCTCTAAGCTGAGTTAGTATGAGCTAGCTCACAGGTTTTTAGCCTCCGGCTCACACATTTTTGTCTTAGCTCAGGAAGGAGGGCTCCAGAGCAAACTAATTTATGCAGCAGCCAAACTGCTCGCTCTCAACTTTAATGCCAGTAGCTCACAAAGTAGAATTTTTGCTCACAAGACTCCACAGCTTAGAGGGAGCATTGTTCACCACCCAACTGTATGCTAAAGGGCAACAGTAGTGGTTCTAAACAATCCTGGTAGTTTACAAGGCGGGGGGGGGGGTATAGAACAGCCCTCACAGGGAGGTCTTGCCCCAAACCTTGTGCAGGAGAGGAGGTGTGTAGCTCTTCCCCACCCCTTCACCCCACCACTGTTTTTACCCTTCAGGTTCAGTGCTTCGACTGGACTGAAAGAAACAGCCCCCAAGGCAAGTAAATGGTGCCACTGGTGTTTGTTTGAAAGGATATCATTTTGATGTTCCTTTCGCAAAATATGTACTTAGTGTTAAATATAAAGGTTGAGGGAAGTCTCCTGTAGGAAGCAGTGAAGGCAGATATAGTGCTAATGCCAAGATACTGGTTTTTTCCCTGGCTGGAGCCCTGCTACTGTGAAGCAAAACAAGGCAGTGTGGAATAGAGGTCTTGGATGTGAGAGACCTAAGTTTAAAACACTTTCAGCTATGGAGTTTACAGTAGTCTTAACCGAGTCATTGTCTCCGAATGCCTCACCTGAGGAATATTGAGATAACACTTGTGTAACACCTTTGTACACTGAAAAGTACTACAAAAGTTATTGAGAATGGTACAGATCCATCATGTGTTGTTTATTGGCAACACCTTCTGATGTCAAGTGGGAATGTTTGGTTCAGTCTGAGGTCAATCTATATGTAAATTAGTAAAAAAAATTGTATCCTGTAGTCTCTTAAAAGCTTCAGGCACTTTTACACAAAATAAATATAAAGTTTAATATCAAGTAGAAAAATAAATCATATAGACAAATATGAAGACTTAAATAATGATACTTGTTTCCATGACAAGCAAGAACAGCATCAGACATTTCTGTAGGGATGATTCAAGATTATTGTGAGACCTATTCTTGTGAGCTGCAAAACAGCCTAAGCAGACACAGAATCTAGGAGTAAGCAAACACAGTAGGATTCCAAATAAATATGCATCGTCCACATGAAGTACATTTCAGATACCCTTGTGCTTGTATGAATGCTGTTAATTTAGGAAAGATTTGGAAGAAAAATGAAATATACTTACACTCATGATTTAAAGAAAGGCCTTTTAAACTTTTGCGTAAAAAGTAATTCAGCCTGTTGGTTTGGCTGTGGTTTATCCTTCCAAAACCTTTCTTCTGCACTCAAGTGATTCTGGAGACAAGCCACAATCCAATTTATATGGGTTTAAACAGTTTTCAAGCATGCTTAATTCTGCATTGGTTTATGGCCCTGGTGAACTGTGTAGTGGTAACCGACACCCTGACTTTATGAATACGACCTTGCCATTTTTAGCCCTGTACTACTATTTCTTGTTTCATATATTTTTCTGCTAGAACAGAGACAAGCAGTTCACATTAAATACCAGAACAAAAATGAAATTATAAAAAGTCAACTATCCCAATAACTAAATACCAGTAAATGCAGAACCCAACCCAGAGAAGCCATAATTCAAAATAAACAGATCAGCATATATCCGCACAATTACAACTCATTAACAAAGACTAATAAAACCAAGGCATAAACAAAAGCAATACATATGCAAGCAATCCAAACAGTATACAGTCATGAGACAAATGATGAAATACACACTGGCCAAATTTTTAAAAATATTCAAAAGATTATCAGGACGGAAAGACTCAGATAAAACCTTGGGCAAATTAAAACTTCTTGAACCAGTACCTATAGATTAGGTGCCTGACAAACTTCCTGGAAAAGAGAATTCGACAAATGGGGCACACACACCCCGCCTTCTCTCATTGCCATCTGACACATCGGTGTAGACATGAAATGGAATGAGTCAAGGAGGTGGCCAAGTACCCTTACCCTAAGTCATTTGGGGCTCCTAACCCAGTTGCTAATAAATATGAAGCTTCTTTTAAAGCATGAAACCAAGTGGTTTGTGGCTTGAAGGAAAAAGTGTAGACATAGTACTGAATCAGGCAAAGCATGTTTGAACTCAGAAGAATATTTAAGAAAATGCAAAGAAGGTACACAGAAAACAAAGCATAAAAACAAATACACCACTCCCCACCCTTGATAGCATAAGAGCAGAGCATGTTTACCTTCAGATGTACTTGCAAAAGTAAAGTCCTGTCAAATTATCAGAGAAAACTAGTTGCAATCATGATTGCTCTCACCATTCTCAGACTTTTTTGCATTGTTCCCAATCTAGAGAATGCTGTAGTCCTAGGCATATATATTCAAATGAATGTCCTATAGTGGGGCTTATTCTCAGATAAGTGTCCCTAGGAATGCTTTGATTGCACCCTAGATACAATACCCTAGAAATAAGGCTTTGAAGGGTGGATTCTATGGCATTGTACCATGCTGAGGCCCCTCCCCTCCCCAAACCCTGCCCTCTCCCGGATCCACCCCTAAAGTCACCAGGTATTTTCCAACCCAGACCTGGCAACCGAAGCTTGCAGCCCACTGAGCCCAGTTGTATTATAATATCAGTAGGGACGTTAATATGTGTTTAATTCTTGAGTACTGAAATCTGACTAAGAGCACAATCCTAAAACCAGTATGTACATTGCTTAGGATAGAAACTGAAGCCCACACCACCGTAACTTGAAGATAAGCTGGTATCTGGGATTTAGGACTGAGCTAAACTTTGTCTGGAGAACCCCCTTCCTGACAAAAGATACATTGTGAGAGGCCCATGGCCAGGATTTTTTTTTTTTATTTGGGGGGCCTTTAAATAAATTGGGGGCACCCCACACACACACCCAAGTGACCCACCTCCTGAGAGGAAAGCCAGCAGTCTGCAATCCAGACACTCACACTGCCAGGACCTCTCCAGCCCTTACAGTGGGAACCACTGCCTCCTCCTTCCCCCTCATGCCAACACAGCCAGCCCATTGGCCCCCGGGCAGCACTTGCCCACACCCCAGCCTCACGTTGTTTGCCTACCACTGCCATCGGATCCCGCCCCCAGGCACTGGAGCCAGGCTCCCCACTCGCTCTGTCCATCACCATCTTCCCACTGGCACAGCAAGTTCAGACGCTGAGTGCGGGAGGGGCAGCAAGCCCAGCCAACAATAGAGAGTGGCTGCAGCTGGCAAGAGGGAGCTGTCATGGCCGATGACGAGTGTCCATAAATAAAATTTAAAAATGGGAAGTTGGGGGACCTTGGCCAAGAGGCCCCACTGTAGCTATGGGCCTGAATTGTGATGTCATCAGCCTGGCTGTATGTCACATAATTGGCTGACCACCATTACGCTGCATTAGCTAAACTGAGGGCCTTTTAGTACATGTGAATATAGAATCATAGAATGTTACAGTTGGAAGGGACCTTGCAGGTCATCTAGTCCAACCGCCTGCACTCTGCAGGAGCATAGC